TCTCCTCTATCCATCTTCTATCCGCCTCCCCCTCTCTCCCTATTTATTTCAGAACCCCCTTCCCCTCCCCCATTTCTGATGAAGGGTCTAGGCCCGAAACGTCAGCCTTTCTGCTCCTATGATGCTGCTTGGCCTGCTGTGTTCATCCAGCTCTGCACCTTGTTGTCTTGGATTCTCCAGCATCTGCAGTTCCTACTATCTCTGGAGAAATGGACATTTGACTGTAGAAGTGAAACGTGTTGAAAAAGGCTCCCTTGTGTATCTGAGGAAGAAAACTCAGCTGCAACATTGGCCGGAAAGAAACACCAAGAAACCAATAATTTTATTTAGATAAATATGAGGTACTGCTTTTCGGAAAGCCAAATCAGGGCAGGACTTATGCAATTAACGGTAAGGTCCTGGGGAGTTTTGCTGAACAAAGAGACCTTGGAGTGCAGGTTCATAGCTCCTTAAAAGTGGAGTCCCAAATAGACAGGATAGTGAAAAAGGCATTTGGTATGCCTGCCTTTATTGGTCAGTATATGTTGTGGCTGTACAGGACATTGGTTAGGCCATTTTTATAATACTTTGTGCAGATCTGGTCTTCCTGCTGTAGGAAGGATGTTGTGAAACTTGAGAGGGTTCAGAAAAGATTTACAAGAGTGTTACCAGTGTTAGAGCTATAGAGAGAGGTTGAATAGACTGGGACTATTTTTCGTGGAGCACTGGAGGCTGAGGGGTGACCTTATAGAGGTTTATAATATCATGAAGAACATGGTTAGGTGAACAACCAAGGTCTTTTCCCTGGGGTGGGGGGCTCCAAAACTGGAGAGCATAGGTTTAAGGGGAGAGGAGAAAGATTGAAAAGGGACCTAAGGGGCAACGTTTTCACGCAGAGGGTGGTGTGTGTATGCAATGAGCTGCCAGATGAAGTGGTGGAGGCTGTTACCATTACAACATTTAAAAGGCATCTGGATGGGTACATGAATAGGATAGGTTTAGAGGGATATGGGCCAAATGCTGGCAAATGGGACTAGATTAATTTAGGAAATCTGGTCGACATGGACAAGTTGGACTGAAGGGTCTGTTTCCACAGTGTACAGCTTCATGACTCTATAACTTAAAGGCAACCTATGCTGCTGGCAAGAAATCAATAAGCAGACCATGGTCTCAGGTTAAACCCTGTCTTAAGCAATCTCAAAAGATTTTCCTTTCATACTAGGCACTATTGACTTTTAATTTTGTGCCTTGTATACTCTCAAAGGCCATATACTTGACATTTTGTCTTTATCATTTTCCTCAGGGTTAGCAAGAAACAAATCTGCTCCTTTTTGCAACTTAAAAACCTTGTGATTGGCTCCTTACTGCTACAATAAATATTACAACATTTTAGTTGGAGAAAGGTATAGCTTTGTGCCAAAACAAGATTAAAACTTTGTTGCAGCTGAAAAGAGGGGAGCCAATTCATCCCACTTCCTCACTTTGTCATAACAAAAAAAAATCAAATATCCAAAAATAGTCACAATTAATATTTCTCAAAAATGACTGCACAGGCACTAGTTGGACTATCAGCCCTGTATACGATTGTTGACACATGATTTCGTGGAGATTTACTGAAAATGTCACCAAATGAGTTTACAATGCCTTATTTATCTCAGCATGAATTTAAGAAGAGAAAATTACCAGGCTTACCAAATCTAGTGCCATCATCAGTTAATAAGCACTTAAGAGTCACCAGAACCTTATACCAGTTAGAACAGAAACTTTATAACATAGGAAAAAAAAAGCCATGTGGTTCATTGTGCCTGTGCTAGCCGAAGAATGAACCACAAGTCCAATCCCACTTCTTAACATTTGGTTTATAGTCCTACAGATATCAGCATTTAAGGTAAATATCCACACACTTTTTAACTGAGTTAAGGGTTTATGCTGCTGCTACCCTTTCAGGCAATGAGCTCTTGGCCCTCCCAGCCTTTGGGTGAAAAATGCTTTTTCATCTCTTTCAACCAATCACTTTAAATCTATCCAAAACAGCCACTGGCCTGTCTCTCACAGATATAGAGTCATACAGCACAGAAACAGACCCTTTGGTCCAACTTGTCCATGATGAACAAGTTTCCCAAACTAAACTAGTCCCACTTGCCTGTGTTTCGCCCATATCCCTCTAAACTTTTCCTATTCACATGCCTGTCAAATGTCTTTTGAATGATGTATCTGCATCTACACCTCCCCCAAGCAGTTTATTCCACATACAAACCACCCTCTGTATGAAAAGGTTGCCCCCTCAGGTCCCTTTCAAATCTTTCTCCTCTCACCTTAAAAATATGGTCCCTAGCTGTGAACTCCCCCAACCTCGGGAAAAGACTTTAGCTATCACCTTATCAATGCCCCCCATGATTTTATAAACTTCTATAAGGTCAGCCCTCAACCTTCTCTGCTCCAGTGAAAAAGTCCCAGCCTATCCAGCCTATCTTATAACTCAAACCCTCTGGTCCCAACAACATCCTTAGGTCAACAGACCCTTCTCATCCATTCTATCCAGGCTCCTCTCTTTTTTTCACATTTCAAATTAAATCTCCTTTCAGTCTCCAATGTTGCAGGAAGAACAACCCACAACATCCAATATTCCCTTAAAGTTGCATTTTTCCAGTCCTGGCTACATCCTTGTAAATCTTCTTTGCACCCTTTTCAGTGTAACAACATCTTATCTGTAATCAGGTGACCAGAACTCCACACTGTACTTGAATTTTGACCTAACAAATGACTAATATTCTGTTCTGGCACAAACTCCTTGGCTCTTATGTTATATATCCTGGATAATAAAGGAAAGGATTCCACATGACTTGTGTGAAGTAAGTTATGGTCAGAAATATTTTTTTATGCATGCATTTGTAAACTAGAAAACAATTTACATTCCTAATGAAAGAAAAAAATTATTTCAGTGTTGTCTTTGTGGACTACAGCAAATATTTAGAAAACTATTCAGTTTTAATCAACAAATGTTAAATCAGCTAACGTGTTTTAAGAAGGTTATAACTAAGTCTAAGCTTCTCAATAAAATAAAGATTAAGAGATTTTTAGGCTTAAAACTACATCTATTTCACACAGCCCTCTCACACTGTACCACACAATTATTCACATTATACATGCTGCCAATTAAATTGTTGAACATCAGAATTTTGACTATTTAGCCTAGAGGGCTTTTACGTTTG